GGCTACCACCACTAACTCCTCTGACCAGGATCACAACAGAGGGTTCTGGACAGAGCTGCAGAAGGATGTAGAGCATAATTCTAACTCAGAAAAAAAAAAAAAAAAAGACCAGGTTTACTGGCCTAAAGGAGACTGGAGAAACCTCGAGAGTATGGCCCCCAGACAGCCTTTTAGGTCAGTGGTGAAATTACCTCCGAGGTTCACTCTTCAGCTTGGGAGTGGACAGCCCCATAAAACCAAATGAGACTAACGAGGTATAGGAGTCCAGTGACAAGGGCCAGAAGGCAGAAGGGGACAAGGAAGCTGGTGGTAGGGAACCCAAGATTGAGTAAGGATATTGTTGATGTGTTGTGGTATTCTTAACCGTTGTCATAGGGCAACATTTGTAGTAAGTGTTAAATGAGAAACTATTTTGTTCTGTAAGCCTTCATCTTAAGTGAGAATAACAGCACACTGGAAGAGCGTAGTTAGTGTCACTGAACTGTGCATGTGGAAATTTTTGAAATGGTGTATCTTTGGCTATGTGTATTTTCACCATAAAAAAAGGTCGAGATGTTAGAGGGTTGATATGTTGTGGGGTTGTTAACCAGTGTCATAAAACAACATGTGTACTAGTGTTCCATGAGAAACTATTTGTTCTGTAAGCCTTCACCTGAAGTACAATAAAAACAAACAAACAACAACAACAACAAAAAACTCCAGATCTAATTCAAGATGTGACTCTATAAACTAAGGAAAACTTTCACCAGCACATTCAATTGGCCTGTCACATCCTGGGAACAATTTACATAGAAAAAGAAGTTCAAAACTTATCCCAGTTATTGAACTTTAACAATAAAGGAAGAATTGTATAGGCATCCAGGCAGAAAGATTAAGTCACCTGTAAAGGGAAGAAATCATACTGGCCTCCCTTTACCCCGCAGCAGCATGTAACGCTAGGAAACAAGGACTCAATAACCATGAAGACCTCAGGCAACAAAGTAGAGATCTGAGTATTTTATACTTAGCCCTGCTAATGTGCAAGCATCAATGTAACAGAAATACTTTTTTGGACAGGGTAGAATTAAGGTTATTTTAGTTCAAGTTAGCCCTACTTGAAAAAAGTATTAAAAGATGAACTTCTGCCAAGTAAGTGACAAAACTAGGAAAATGCAGCGAAATTGTCATTAAACATTACATCTAACTGTAGGGCAAATTTGAGGATTATGGATATTTAAAAAGTTAAATTAGCCCTGATAACGAAATGAAATTGAACAGCCTTGTATTTCCTATGAACGGTTTATAGTCCAACATATAGGTGATAATTATCTTTCTTACCAGATGTTTTTTCTTCTTTTAGGAAACAATGCCCCCACAAACACATGCTGCATTTTCTGGCCACCATCTGCCATTTGTTGGTTTTACATATACTAGTAGCTGGTAAGTTTCAAAAGTTTAAATAATTTGGACAATTTAAAGCAAATTAAAATGAATTGAAGTTTTAAAAAATGTATGAGAGCTTTGTAAATTAAAAAAAATGTTTTTCTTAATGATCCTCCTGGGAATTTAGGTATTACAAAATGAGTAGAACACACAAGAATCTTAACTCATTGTGGAAGGGAAAGAATAGAACAAATAGAGAACTCAGAATCTTAGCAGTGGGCCAGGAATTAGTAGAAACCTGTGCTATTGATAAATATTCTCTAGGTTTCAATCAGCAGAACTTGCAAACCGTTATTCTACCGTCTTTTCAGTGACCCTCACTCTACTCGTATCCTCTTTCCTCTTTACCCTGCTTGAATTTCATTGAGAATGATTATAATCACTCCCTTGTGTATCACCTCAGTTCCCTTTACCATCTTTCATTCTGTTATATTTGCTTTGCTAAATCAGCGTTTATTATTAAAACCCAGTTTGCTACCTGTACCTTTGCAGATGAAATAAGAGAAAAATTCTAAGCATTCTCACTTCATAATCACCAACTTCAAGTGCTGCTAATGCTGCTGATAAATATACTGAATTATCCTAGTGCATTTACTCTTCCAGTTTTCTATGTAATGATTTCATACTTCTACTTTCTTCTAAAATCTCTGGCATCCTCACTCTCAGCTGATGAACTTGCTTCCTCTTTCACTGAAGGATGAAGCAGACAATAAAGAACTTCAACAAGCTCCCATCACCACATTTACCACCTACATACCTCTGGTCCGTATGCTCTCTTCTTTTTATGGATGAACTGTGGGAACTCCTAGCTAAGGCTGGCCCCGGTATCCACTCTAGTGCGTTGCTGTCACCTCCTACGTTTTTCCCTTTCTGTGACATCTTCATCACCAGATCATTCCCATCAGCTTAGTATCATGTTTTTATTTCTCCCATCTTAAAGCAAAGTATAAAATCTCTCTTGATTCTACTTCCTTTACCAGTAACGAACCTATTTCTCTGCTGCACATGAGAGCAAAATTACTTCAAAATGTTTTCTATACTTTGCCCAGTTTTTCCTCATACTATTCTCTTTTGAGGCGCTCCTGTCAGGTTTTTGCCCCCATCACTTCATGCAAATGACTTTTATCAATTTCACTACTAACCTCCTTGTTGCAAAATCTAATGATTATTTCTCAGTCCTAGTTTTACTTGATTCAGATCTCATCTTACTTGCCTCAGCTTCTCTACCTTAAAGCACCTACTGGTACTTCTCTTAGCTTCCAGGAAACATTCCTGGTTTTCTTCTTACCTTTCTGGCCACTCCTTCTCAGTCTCTATATCTTATTCCTGCTAATCTCCCTGACCTCCGAATATAGGAGTGTTCCATAGCTTAGTCCTTGGAGTTCTCTTTTCTATCTGTAGTCTGGGGTTCTCCCAGATAATAGCTGGTGACTCCCACATGGGTCTCTTGAGCCATACTCTGTCTCCTCTCTTCTGCTTAATCTCTCTCTAAACCACCTGCTTAGCATGTTCATAACTTCATTTCTTATATTTCCCAGAACCTGTCCAAGTGATTCTATTAAAAGGTAAGTCAGATCATGTCACTCTCCTGTTCTGGACCACCCCACCCCTACCCCCCAATTGCAGTGACTTTCTTTCTTAACTCCAGATCAAAGTTCTGACAAGGCCTGACGTGACTGGCTCACTTTTACCTTTTTCATTTTATTTGCCACCACTTTTCCCCTTGTGCACTCCACTCCATTCACGCTGGCCTCCTTTCTGGTCCACGAACGTGCCATGCATGCGCACTCTTGTTTCAGGGCTTCTGCCTGTAATGCTTTTCCCCTGATACTCCCTTGGCTGGTCCCCTCACTCTTCTAGGGCTTTACTCTGAAGTTATCTTTCTCAGTGACGACTTGCTTGATCAATTCATCTAAAATTTCAACTCCATTTCCTCTTTTCCTGCTTTGTTTTTTCCTTAGCATTTAGAGTTTTCCAACATACTGAATATTTTACTTTTTTTCCTGTTTATTTCTATCTCTGTCACTAGGATATAAGCTGTATATGGATAGGGATTTTTGTCTGTTTTGTTCACTGATGTATTCCAGCCCCTCAAATATTTTTAATTAAATTGCATTGAATTAAAGAAAATACTTCACTTTTGAATTTCAAATTCTGGTAAAGAAGACCATGGATGGTGCTTTTGACTATGATTTCACTTAAGTGGTCAAATTGTTTTAAACTTTAAATAACCCTTCATTAAACTTCGTTTTATAATTTGTGGCTATTTAAAAAAAATTCAAGAAAATTTGGAAGATTTAAGTTTTCATAAAAAAATGCTTCTATTAAATAGTATAAGTGGTTTTGCAAATGATTTTTGCAATCATAATTGACTCACTGTAACCAGATACTCAAATTCATGTCTTAAATGAGCTGTTTCATTTAAGACATTTCATTCATGTCTTTTTTTCTTCAAATTTTTACTTTAATATGTACCACATATTTTTTTTTTTCAGTGTTCTTTCTGATCGGAGCTGTTTAAGAGTTACAGCTGGTCCCTCCTCACTGGATCTTGATGTTAGTGTTCAGAGGACTTTAGATAACAACTTAGCAACTGAAGCTTATGAAAGAAGAATTAAACGCCTCGAACAGGAAAAACTTGAGCTTAGTAGAAAGCTCCAAGGTAAATATATCTTACAGATAATTTTTTCCCTTTTGGATTGGACTCAGTCACAGTGTTATGAACTGTGTATTACAAGTAGTTTCATCTTGAAAAGATTATTAAGTGGAGAAAAAGCAAGTGCTGACTACAGTATACCATTTATATAAAATCACACAATTAACAGTAAATGATAACAAAATAGCGTTTGTTTCCAGTGGGTAATATGTATGCATATAAATATGTGGGAATAAATCATACCTCTGAAGAGAGGGAAATGAGACTACCAGGAAAAAAGGAGCCATTCTCAGTCCAGTGTCACATTTCAGTGACTCTTCCTATCATATCCCCTCAGTCCTGGCATACTGCCATTCCCTATCACATTACTCCTGTCATAATATTTGGTGATTTAAAAACGCACATAGATGAACCTTTTAATACTGAGTTCTTAGTTTCTCAATTCTCACCTTCAGTGATCTCGTTCTCCACCATTAATTCACCTACTCCTTCTCAAGGTGGTAAAATATATCTTGAGATTACAGTAAATAAAACCCTTCACTAATCTCAGTTTCAAACAAACCCTGCATAATTTTCTGCTCGTAATTTCCTAGCCAACTCCCTCTAGTACCTTACCACCAATATTCCTTCAATTCTGCCATTGCCTGTAATTCTATCACCATTTCACTGCTCGTTATCATTATTAATCGTAATCATATACCCTCAACTTTATTGCTCCTCTTTCTGTTGTCAGAATCCCTTAGCAGAACCTCAGCCCTTTCTATGTACAACCTTGCATCTGCAGTTGTTGCAGTTCAAGGTAGCTGACTTAAAACATAATATGCTGACAAATGTCACTTCAGATTCATGAACACTAATCTCACGTGGGCTGTTAATGCTGCCCAGCAATGCTCCCCTTTTCCCTAGCTCATTTCCCTAGTGTATGTTGCGAAATCCATTGCTCATTTCTCAGTCCTTATCTTTTAACCTATCAGCAGCATTTGAGCCAATTGCTCATTTCTTGCTGCTGAAAGCTCTTCCTTCATTTGGCTCCTGGGGCGCTTTACTCTTCCTGGTTTTCATTTTCCTCATAAGCCAGTTCTTCTTGTACTGCTTTGCTGATTTCTTCTTAACTCTTTGACCTCTGAATGGTAGAGTACCCCAGACTACTCTATGCTTTCAGTTGCTCAGACCTGAAACCTTAGAGTCTTTCATAGTCTCAGTCATCCTCTCTTGCCTCACGTCTAATTCATCTGCAGATCCTGCCAGGACCACTGTCACAACAGATCCAAAATGTGATCACTGTTCACAGTGGAACTACCACTCTGTTTCAGACCACCATCAACTCTCACCTGTGTTGTTGCAGTAGCTTCCTAACTGGTCTCCTCGTCTTCCCCTCATCCTTCCTACAATGTGTTTTCAACATAACCACCAAGTAATCTCATTAAACACAATTTAAATCATTTTACTTCACTATCTCATCTTCATCCCTTATGGCTTCCTATCTCAATCAGATTAAAGCCAAACTTACCTCAGTGGCTTAAGGCCATATCTGATCTGGCCTCTTATTACCTTTCTGATTTCATCTCCTGCTGTTATCTCCCTTGTTCTTTCTGTTCTAGGCACCCTGGGCTCCTTGCTGTTCCTTGAACAAGACAGGTACATCCTCACTTTAGGGCCTTTGGGTTAGCTGTTTCCCTTCCTTAAATGCTTTCCCTTTACTGCTCATTATGATTCATTGGTTTGCCTCCTTCAGGTCTCTGCTTGAATGTCACCTTTTCAAGGAGGCTTTTCCTGAACACTGTTTCAAATCAAATCTCACTTCCATCCCCAGCATTCACTATCCCCCTTTCCTGCCTTATTTGCTTAAAAATGAAGAATATAATATATATTTTACTTACTTATTTTGTGGATGGAGAAATAATGTATAAACAATCAACAAACTTGTAACTCTTAAGAAAAAGTCAAAATTTTGCCATCATAAAATTACGCTATTACATCTTAAGAGTTCTAGTGGTTAAAAGGGTTCTGTAGAAATCAATTGAACAGACTATGTCACTATGAATAGAAATGTCACTCAGGAAGTGGCTAAGTTCTCTCTGCATGTGAATTACTTCTCCTTTATACCCAAGTTTTTCATTTATTTTGATTTTTAAATGGGCAATATAATGTACATACAGTAAAGTGTGCAAGTACTGTATTTTTCACAAATAACGCACCCACATAAATAACGTGCCCATGCATAAAATGGGCAGCATATCATGCTTACAAAAATAGCACAGGGGTGGGGGTTGCACACTTGGCAAAAAAAAACTGTGTAAAAAGTTTGTAAAAAAATTTTATGTTAAAATTCTGCCTAAAAATATAGTACTCTACATACAATTGAGCAATCCTGCTCCTTGGAATATATCCTAGAAAAATAAGAGCTCTCACAGAAATGGATAGATGCACACCCATGTTCATTGTAGCACTGTTCACAATAGCAAAAAGATGGAAACAGTCTAGGTGACCATCAACAGACAAATGAATCAACAAATTATGGTACATACATACAATGGAAACCTACACAACGATAAAGAATAATGAATCTGTAAAACATCTGACAACATGGATGAATCTGGAGGGCATTATGCTGAGTGAAATTAGTCACAAAAGGACAAATATTATATGCAACCACTATTAGAAGAACTCAAGAAAAAGTTTAAACACAGAAGAAAATATTTTTTGATGGTTATGAGGGTGAGGAGGGAGGGAGAGGGGAATTCACTAACTAGATAGTAGACAAGAATTATCTTAGAAGGGCAACACACAGTACAGGGGAATTCAGCACAACTGGACTAAACCAAAAGCTAAGAAGTTTCCTGAATACAACCAAACACTTCGAGGGACAGAGTTGCAGGGGTAGGGGGCTGGGGACCATGGTTTCAGGGGACATCTAGGTCAATTGGCATAACAAAGTTTATTAAGAAAATGTTCTGCATCCCACTTTGGTGAGTGGCATCTGGGGTCTTAAAAGCTTGCGAGTGGCCGTCTAAGATGCATCAATTGGTCCCAACCCACCTGAAGCAAAGGAGAATGAAGAACACCAAAGATACAAGGAAAATATTAGCCTAAGAGACAAAAGGGGCTGCACAAACCAGGGACTCCGTCAGCCTGAGACCAGAAGAGCTAGATGGTGCCTGGCTACCACCAGTGACCACCCTGACAGGGAACACAACAGGAAGTCCCTGAAAGAGCAGGAGAAAAGTGGGGTGCAGAACTGAGATTCACATAAAAAGACTAGACTTAATGGTCTGACTGAGACTGGAGGAACCCTCAAAGACATGGGCCCCGGACACTCTGTTAACCCAGACCTAAAACCATTCCTGAAGCCAACTCTTCAGACAAAGATTTGACTAGACTATAAAACATAAAATAATACTCGTGAAGAGTGTGCTGCTTAGTTCAAACAAATACATGAGACTAAATGGGCGTGTCCAGTCTGGAGGCAGGATGAGAAGGTACGAAGGGACAGGAGCTGGTTGGATGGACATGGGAAACCTAGGATGGGAAGGAGAGAGTGTGCTGTCACATTATAGGAATTGCAGCTAGTGTCACATAACAATATGTGTATAAATTTTCATATGAGAAATTAACTTGAGCTATAAACTTTCAGCTAAAGCACACACACAAAAAAATATGGTACTCTTAAAGTGTAAGCCCCATAAATGTTTATATATGTGTATACCCGTGTAACCTTCTTCAGAGCATGATATAGAACATTTCTGAGCATATGATAAGTTTCTCTTCATGGCTCTTTCCAATTTGTAACCTACCACCACTATTCTGATTTCTTTCACTGTTATTTTGCTATTAATTAATTTTTCCCTGTCCTTGAACTTCATAAATGGAATCATGCAAGTGTATTTTGTGTTTTGCTTCTTTCACTCGACATGATATTTTTGAGATTCATCCATGCTGTATATATGTTGGAGCCCTGGTGGCATAGTGGTTGAAAGCTTGGCTGGTTACCAAAAGATCAGCAGTTTGAATCCATCAGCCACTCTTTGGAAACCCTATGGGGCAGTTCTAATCTGTCCTGTAGGGTTGCTTTGAGTCAGAATCGACTTGACAGCAGTAAGTCAGGTTTGGTGTATCTTTGGAGCCCTGGTGGCATAGTACTTAAGAGCTTAGCTGCTAACCAAAAGTTCACCAGTTGAAATCCACCAGCTGCTCCTTGGAATCCCTGTGGGGCAGCTCTGCTCTGTCTTGTAGGGTCGCTATGAGTCAGGATTGACTCGACGGCAATGGGTTTGGTTTTTTGTTTATAGGGATATGCTTATTTATTTCTTTTGGTAGTAATATTATACTCATTTCTTTTGGATATGTACCTAGGAATGGAATTTCTGGGACACAGGAATAGTATGTTTTCAGCTTTAGAAGATACTCTGCTAAAGAGTTTTCCATAGTAATAGTATCAATTTATAGTTGCACTGACAATGTATGAGAGTTCCACTTGGCTTTATATTCCTACCAGAACTTGACATTTCAGCTTCTTTACTTTTAGCCATTCTGGTGCATATATAGTAGTCCCTCACTGTGATTCTAATTTGCATTTCCCTAGTAAGTATTGAGGTTGAGTAACTTTTCATATATTAATTATCCATTTTGATATTCAGTTTTCTGTTCAAGGTTCTTGCCCATTTTTCTGTTAGGTCCTTATCTATCTTTTTCTTAATAATTTGTATTTTACCACTTCATGAACAGTTTAAGAACCTTGCAACAGCCCTTTGTGTGATTTTTGTTATTTATTTTACCTCTGTCTATGTTATAACCTTTTCAGTACATTCATTTTATTGTTGTTTTAAATATTTGTTAGTCTATTTCTTGAGAATTAACTGTTAATCTTGTTCTCCTGACCATTATATATCTTCCCTTTCCCTCCACAGATATTTTTAAGAAAATTGTCTTTGACTTCACTTTAAAGCAATCAGACTATGATGTGCCTAGATGTAGCTTTCTTTGTATTATTATAAAATTCTGTTTGGGATTCACTGAGATTCTGGAATCTTGAATGATTTTGGAAAATTTTAGAAAATTCATATCTCTGTAGATATTTCTTTTGTCCCGTTCACTCTCTCCCTTCTGAGACTCCAGTTGCATTTTTGTTAAACTGTTGTGTCCCACATTTCTTTCCTGCTCTTTCCATTCTTTGTTTTCTTTGTGCTTCATTTGGATATGTTCTGTTGACTTGCTTTCAGCTTCACTAGCCTCTCTAGAGTTAATGTTTTATTAATACCTTACATCTTCAGGTTAGAACCACAAGATAAGTTAATAATTTCTATTTTAACTAAATTTATAAGTCAAAGTAATCAACAAGTGGGTCTCAATTTTCACACATAAAATTTGGAAAGCCAGCACTTCTACATATTACATATTAGCATCTCTAAACCTAAACCTTCCTCATATACTAGATTCAGTTTTTCCGATGTCATCTGACATATGACATTTTTGATCACGTGGTTATGCTTCCTGCTAGGACAAAAGGATGCTGAATAGTTGAATGACTGGCAGGGCATTGTCTTAGTCAAGGTTCTCTAGAGAAGCAACCAGTGAGAGAGAGAGACGTGGATTGACTGAAATTGATTTTAAGGAATTGATTCAAGCGATTGTGGGGGGCTGGCAAGTCCAAAGTCTGTAGGTCAGGCAACAGGCTGGAGATTCCTGCAGTCTTGTGTCTCAAAATCTGTAGGTTGGACAATGGGAAGAGTGAAGAGTCGAGGAGTTCTGGAAAAATGTCTATTTATTTAGATGTCTGGAGGCAGAATACACCCTAAGAAAAACTCCCTGTTTCCTCCTAAGGCTTTCAACTGACTGGATGAAGCCCATCCACATTATGGAGGGTAATCTACTTTACTTAAGGTCAACCGATTTAATCGCATATTATTTCATTGCAGCATCTATACTAGTGTTTGATCAAACAACTGGGCACCATATTCTAGCCAAGCTGATGCATAAAATTAACCATTTCAGTCTTCAAAACTGAGAATACCACATATTAGAAGCTAGATGTTTTTTCCTGTATATATTATAATTTTAAAGACATGTGAAATGGAGTTTTATGATTTCATTTAATATGTTTACATGCTTTTTATCAGTTGGTACATGTTTTGGTCTGTAGAGTTATATAAAGATTTCTTTAGAAAGGAATGTATTGCTGTTATTTTTAAAATTTAGAATATGGTCATATTTCTCACTCTTTCTTTTATTCATTTTCTAAGAGTCAACACAGACTGTCCAAGCTCTACAATATTCAACTGTTGATGGACCACTAGCAGCAAGCAAAGATTTAGAAATAAAAAACTTAAAAGAAGAAATTGAAAAACTAAGGAGACAAGTAACAGGTAAATTTCTGTAATTCACCTTTAATTGGGTTTTGTAGATTTTTAAAAATGTTTTATTCACACACAGAACATTTATTGAATACTTGTCATGTGTTAATAAGCTATATGCTAGCAAGTAAGAATGGTTTCTGCTCTCTGGAAGCTCACATTTTGGTCTGGGAAACAGAAAAAGAAATAGTCATTTCAATATATGTGAAAAAGGATATCAGGAAAAATACACAGAGGTACCTGAAAATTACAAAGGAGAAGCACCTAAGCCAGACTTAGGAGAGCAGGGATGATTTTTTTGGAAGACCTAAATGAATTTGGGATATTGAATTGGAATATGTCTAGCAAAGAATATAGTAATAGAGGAAAGGTGTTAGGATCACAAAGGACACTATAGATAGACAAGGTAATTGCACGTATACAGGCATCAAGATTTGTGAAAACTTATTTTCTTTCTAACAGAATTAATTTTTTAGTGTGTTGCTGAAATTAATTAAAATTGACAAGTGCTGACATGCCTATCATGTTCATTTGTTCAACAAATATTTATTGAGCACCTAGTATGTACCAGGTGTTGTTTCAGGTTCTCGGGATACAATACTAAACAAAATAGACAAAAATCCTTGCTCTTGTGGAGTACACTCTTTGGGTGGAGGGCAGAAGACAGACAATAAACAATAAATATATAACTACCATATTTTTATGCAAATAACATCTGCCTTCCACATTGTTTGCCAACGATTCATTCCCCCCGCAAGTATTTTTGTAAGCACGCTATGCTAATTCTTTTTTTTACAGAAACATGTAAAAAAAAAAAATTGGCATAGCGACACTTAGGAAAATAAGTCATGGGGATGTAGCAGTTAGCAAACAAATGTAGAAGGTGCACGTTATTTGTGTAAAAGTATGGCATGTAAATGATATAGCATGTTGGAAGATGGTAAAAGCTTAAAAATAGCAGAATAAGGAGAATGTGTCAGAAGTGCAAGATAAGGAGTTTTATAATTTTAAGTGGTCAGAGAAAGTGATGTGAGCAAAAACTTGAAGAAGGTAAAGGGGTTAGCCATGTAGATATCTGGGGAATATGTGTTCCAGGCAGAAAGACCAGCCAGTGCAAGGGCTCTAAAGTGGGAATGTACCTCGTGTGTTCAAATAAAACACAGGGGCCAGGTAGCTGGAGCAGAATGAGCAAGCAGGGAGAATAGGAGGAGGGTGGAGAAGTAAAGAGGTAGAGGGGGCTGGCTGCCTGATCACATAGAGTCTCACTGATTGTTGTAAAGTCTTTGGTTTTTACTCTGAGTAAAATTGGAGCCTTTGCAGGGTTTTGAGCAGAGGCTTCTCATTATCTAAGTAATATTTTTAAAAGGATCATTCTGGCTACTGTGGTGAAAAGAGACTATAGGGAATAAGGTTAGAGTCAGGGAGACGAGTTGGAGGACAATAATCCAGGTGAAAAATGTTGATGGCTTGAAGCAGGCTAATAACAGTAGAAGTGTTTGGTGATGGTCCAGTGCTAGATATACAGTAAAACCTGCGAAGGCTGGAACCTGTGTAAGGCAGAAACCTGTCAGAGAAGCAAAACTCATATTTTCCACTAAAACGATAAGAGTACACCCTGTTAAAGGTGGAAAACTCGTGAGACCTGGAAAGACAAGGCAGTCCCTTTGAGTTCCAGCTCTCACAGGTTTCACTGTATTTTGAAAGAGCCGATGGGATTTGCCGATGGATTGAATGTGAAGTCTGAGAATAAGAGAAGAGTCAAGAATGACTTGAAGGTCTTTGCCTGAATGTTAACTGAAAGGGGAAGGGTATGGGTGGAACAGATTCTGTGGGGGAGCATATCAGGAGTTCAGTTTTGGACATGACATATTTGAAGCACTGTCCAGAGTAAGATATTGTCTTTGCCCTTAAGGAACAAACTGCCATCTAACTGGCATACTCTTATTACCCTTCATTGTTTTCATTGAGTTTTTTTTTATTCTTTTCTGTTTTTTGGCTGGTTGGTTTGTAATTTGAAGCCCTTTGACTTTCTGTATGACAAATATGATAGGTATTGTTATTTTCTTTTTAGTTGACAGACTTAATACATATGGTTATGTGGATTTCCAAATTCCATTGCAATAACTCCAGGGAAAACGCAGTGAATCATTGGGTAGGATTTGGAATAGGAATAGAGGAGTCTGCCTTATTTATCAGTGCTCTTTCTTGGGCAAGTCACTTATCTTTCCTTTAGCCCGGTGTTTCCTGAACTATGATATGGGTACTTTCGGGAGGATACAAGATGATTTTAGTTGGTACCCTGATGATATTAATAGTTATGCGTATGTAGTACATCAGAACTGTAATATTTATAGACATAATTGCTTGGAATATAGTTAAGTTTAAGAAGTGAGTAGATAAAAATATGTATTAATTAAATAATATAAATAATAGATACATATTGGAAAAAATCTTGAAAATAATATGCCAGTAACTACAGTTTAGAACATTCTGACTTAGACAGTTTTTAAAAAAGAGTAATAATGTTCCATTTCTCCATGACACAAGCTTACATACCTCTGTTTCTAAAGAGGGGACTGGACCAGATGGTCTGGGAAATTTCTACCAGTCTTCAACCCAAAGATTGTATGATGATGACCTGTTGCTGTGATTTTCATTTCTGTTGCCCTGCATGGTAGAGCCTTTTATTACTGATGTCTTCAGTGTTTCGGTATCTATACAGATTCACCAAATTCATAGACTCTGTTGATGTTTTGAATTGTTTGAATTTTGGAGAGTTGGTTCCTAAAGATAGGGACTCTGAGTCCATGTTTATTTACAGATATTTCTAAATACTTTCCCTGATATTATTCCCAGCATCCAGATATTTGTTTCTTCGGTTTTGTTGTATTTTTCTCTTTCCTTTTCCTCCTAAATATGTAATTTTTTACTGAATTACTATAGTCCCTGTACTATATTATATATTTTTATTATTATAACCAATTTTAGGTCTTTCATTATTATTCCATTCATGATAGAATAATCATAAGAAGATTTTTCCAAACTAAGTTTTTTACATTTTTCATATATGTGTGTAAGAGTATATTTCATCTTTTCTTTTCTATTAATACACATTATACATTATAACTTATATGTATAATTTGTTCATGTGTGTAAAATTTTTATTCTATAAGAATGGCTTTCATCAGCTTTAAAGGATAAATAGACTTTGCTCAGACAAAGGTAGACTGCAGAGAGGGTCGGCCAAGGGGGAAGACAAAGAATATTTCAGATGCAGAAGGCAGGTATAAAGGCACCAAAGCTTGAGAAAAAGTGGCTTTTCTCTCTGACAAATGGTACTCTTTCAGTGATATACTGAGATTAAATTAGATTAAACTTGGCAGGTTATTGTGTGTATTAGTCTCAAGATATTTTCCTAGGAAAATTAAGAGTTTTAAAGACAATTAGTTAAATGTAAGTTTCATCCTTAAGGAATTTACCTTCTTCCAAACCAGCATCATGGTGAAATTCGAGGTGTCACTTTTAATGTTTCATTTCTTATATGCATACATTTTTTTAAATCTTACTACTTTTCAAAGTGTATCATTCGACAAGTATTTATTGAGTACTTGGTGTGTATCAAGTATGCTAAGCATTGTCATTTTCCTGTTTGATGGAAAATACTCAGGCATGCATGGATTCTCAGACCCTACTGTACCAATTCCAATAATTTACAGGGTTCCTTAACCTATATATAGGTGGGGAACCTGTGCTACAGAGCACTGGATACGATGTAAGTGGTGGAGAAGAGTAAGAAGATATTTCAAGCCTGAAGTGGTACTGATTTCTTTCATCACCCTATTTATTCTTATCCATAGTAATTGTGGGCTTGTAAATACTAATGGATGACTGTGACATGCCAGAACTGAAATAGCCAATGAGATAATTCCTCTCCTTCTGTCTTTACATTATTTTAACTGTAGTAAATAGAACTGTGTGTAAATTTAGAGAAACTGAGTGGCTGTTCCAAGGAGGGACACTCCCTGTTCTCTCACAGAATTGACCATAGCAAACTGCAATGGATTGGTATAATAGAATAGTGTAATCGAATTCAGGAGGCAGGAGGCATATCATTATTATTAATATAGTATCTTGGTAAAATCACTTAGTCCATATTTTGTTAATCATCAAAAGTGAATTACAAGTTGTTGGGAGGGCACAGGCAACTGCTGCCAGCATGGAGGCAGCATCTGGTCCAGATAATCTGGAAAGTCTTCTTGAATCCTAAAATAGCTTATACTTTAGTTTTGCCTTTTTAGTTTTGGGTCTCCCCTCTGCTTATTTTTCAGTGTAGAGCCTTCTATACTAAAGACTACTCGAGATGTTTTAGTATTTCCACAGAATATACCCTACCACCTCCACACATACAAAGACATCTCCTACAAACACTCTAAAGTTACTTACTTAGAATAGATAATTCATTTATATTCATGGATGTATTTCTGTGTACTGTCCATTATCTGGTTTTTCTAGCACTCATATCATTTGCTTCTTTGGTTTTGTTTTGTTATTTTTCTCTTGCTTTTTTTTTCCTCTTAGGTTTGTAATTAGTATGTGTTTTTTATTATATTGCCTAACTTGAAATTTTTTTACCACCAATAATTCTTTAGTCAGTAAAATATATGGTCTCCTGTTACCCATTCCCCCAGTACCCACTCTCTTTTCAGAAGTAGCCATTGCTACCAATCTGTGGACTTCCTTTTCTATTTTCTGTGCATCTGTACACAGAATTTCTATCAGAACTACAACTTGTGTTTTTCCATTTAATATATTACAGATTTCTTTCTGCTAACAACAGATTTACATTATTCTTATCAGTGGCTACATAGTATTACACAGATCTTCTAGGTCAGAAGGGATATTCTGTTGTGGTAATTTACATTTATTGTATTATGACTGAGGTTGAACATCATATATATATATATTTGGCCATTTGTGTTTCTTTTACTTTAAATCTCCTTTTTATTTTCTTT